CAACCTTTCACTCCCTCTCTCTGCCTCACTCCCTGATGCCCCACTCTTTTTCTCTCTGTTCCACTCTTTTTCTCTCTCTGTCTCACACTTTCTCCTTCACACACACACTCTCTTTCTCACACCCTCTCTTTCACTCTCTTTCTCGATCTCATTCTCTCTCTCTCTCTCTCTCTCTCTCTCTCTCTCTCTCTCACATTCTCTCTCTCATTCTTTCTCTCACACACACTCCTTCACACTCTCTTTCCCTCCCACACTCTCTCTCCCTCTCTTTTTCTCTCTCATTCTCTCTCTTACACAATTTCTCTCTCATACTCTTTCTCTCACATTATCTCCCTCTCTCATCCCCTCTCTCTCGCACTCCCCCTCACTCTCTCACCCTCATTCTCTCTCACTCTCTCTCTCTCTCCTCTTTCTTACACTCTCTCCCTCTCTCACACTTTCTCGCACAATCTTTCTCTCATATCCTCTCTCTCTCTCTCTCTCTTTCTCTCACATTCTCTGACACACACTCTCTCTTACACTCACTCTGTCACATTCTCTCTCTCTCACTGTTCCCCTCACACACACACTCTCTCTCTCTCTCAAAACCTCTCATCCAAACTTTCACTCTCTAACATTCTTTCTCCCACACTCTATCACTCACACTCTCCTCTCTCCCACACTGTCCTCTACCGTACACTCTCTCTCACTCTCTCACTCTCCTCTCTCATACACTCTCCCTTTCACACACTGTCTCTCTCACACTTTCTCACACAATCTTACTCTCATATCTTCTCTCTCTCACACTCTTTCAGATTCTCTCACCCACACTCTCTCACTCACACTCTCCTCTGTCGTACTCTTTCTCACTCTCTCACTCTCACACGAACTCTTTCTCATACTTGCTCTCTCACACACTCTCTCTTTCTCTCTCAATCACTCACTCCCTTTCACACACTCAAACACACCCTCCCTCTCTCTCTTTGACACATTCTCCTTTCACACGCTGTCTCCCTCTCATGCACTCTCTCTCTCTCTCTGCCACATGCTCTCTCACCTTTTCTCTCTTTCCCTCTCTCCCTCTCACAAACTCTCTTTCACATTCTCCTTCCTTTCTCTCTCCCCCCCTCTCTGCTCCCTCCCTCTCCTTTCTCTCTTTCTGCCTTTCTCTTTCTCTCATTCTCTCACTCACATACTCCCTTTCAAACACACACACACACTCTCTCTCTCTCTCTCATTCCCTCCTTCACACTCTCTTCTCTTACACTCTCCCTCACTCACACTCTCCCTATCTCACACACACTCCCTCTCCCACATTCTGTCTCACACTCTCTTTCTCTCTCTCTCCCCCATACTCTTTCTCACACAATCTCTCTCTCATACCTTTTCTCTCTTTTTCGCACTCTTTCCCTCTCACACTCACACACACTCTCTTTCTCAGATACTCTCTCTCCCATCCTTTCTCTCTCACACTCTCCCCCTCCCCCCCTCTCTCTCCTCCCTTCATACATTCTCCGTCTCACACTCCCTCTCTCACACTCCCTCTCTCATTCTCTCCCACACTCTCTCACTCCCTCTCTTCATCTCGTTCTCTCTCTCTCTCTCTCTCTCTCCTCTCTCTCTCTCTCTCTTTCACATTCTCTCCCTCTTACTCTCTTTCTCTCTCTCTCATGCTCACTCTCTCTCACACTCCCTCTCTCACATTCTGTCTCTCATACTCTCCCACACTCTCTCTTCATCTCATTCTCTCTCTCTCTCTCTCTCTCTCTCTCTCTCTCTCTCTCTCTCTCTCACTTTCTCTCCCATACTCTCTCTCCCTCTTTGTCTTTCTCTTCTCTCTCTCTCTCTCTCTGTCTCTCCCTTCTCACTCTCCCTCCCTCACACTTTCTCACACACTGTCTCTCCCTCACACTCTTTCCCTCACTCTCTCACACACTCTATCTCAGATTCTCTCTCACTCTCCCATCCTTTTTTTTCTCCCTCTTTCTCTCTCTCTCTTTCTCTTCTTCATGCACTCTCCCTCTCTAACACACTCCCTCTCTCACATTCTCTCCCTCACTTTCTCCATCTCATTCTCTCACATTCTCTCCCTCTCACACTCTCTCCACGCACACACACACACACTCTCTCTCTCTCTCTCGTTATATTTATTACCATTACCCGATAAAGAAGAAAAAATATATTATACTTTATTATTTTATGTTATGAAATTGTTAATCTGATATAACCCCATTATAACTCCTTTCCTACAAACTGTCATTCAGCTGTCATTCGCCGCGATGACAGCTGCGAGCGACACGAATGCAGCCGTGACCGTCGAGACAGCCAATCAACATCGCGGAAGAGGCTTCAACGCTTCGATAAGAAATACATTCACGATAACACGCACTTTTTTAAATATAGATAGGATTATAATTTTATGAATGGAAAATGTACTAACTTCAGTCGCATGTGCTACCTTCCTTATCGAAGAATTAGGATTTTCTACAAATGGTTGCATCACATTCAAACTTTTATCGAAATGTGTCGCTGATTTTGATCTACCACTCCGCGGGCGGTTCTTGACAGATCCCGTTTCTTTGAATCGTCTGACAGTTTTTGAATTTCAGATTTTGAAATTGGTTCACGATCTACATAAGTATCGTTAAACAAAGTCGCTACTTGTTCGAAGGACCTAACGCGATCACAATATCTTCGCATCATCAATATTATAATTCTTTCCTTTTCAGTCAATATCATTTTGACGACTACCGAAGGTAATTTCTTGCTTTGCAAAAGAAATTACTTTGACTTGATATATGAATAAGTAATTTGTTACTTATATGACGAATACGATCGGCATCTAGTATCTAGCATCTAATAAATTTTCTTCGATAAAGGGTCCGATAACCAAAAACCTGTCGACATGTTTTTTGGGGGATACTACATGTGGAGATCACGTCTATGCTACCTTCCTTATCGAAGAATAAGGATGAGCTCCTACAAATGATTTGTAAGTCTAATGACAATTTACAAATAATTTATTACAATATGTACGCAACGAAACCTGCCAACTTGGCAGACTTTAGGGAACGTATATTGCACCAAGTAAATCTTATTTCACCAGAAACGAGACGAAACGTTTTAAATGAATTTTCATCTACGATTAGGTCATTGTCAAGCAGCAGATGGAAGACAGTTTGAACACTTAATTCAGTAAAAACTCGTCTACATACATACGCACACGCGCACACATACACACACTCACACGTACACACACACACAGGCGCGCGTGCACGCACGCACCCAGAGGTGTAAAGTCCGACTATGCAACCTCCATGCGGTACATCCTGAATAATAATACTAATGCTGGCGGCACCGTAAATTTCAAAGCTCATAACTCAGACAATTCTCAATAAAAATAGATCAAGTAGTGTTTTGAAAACGTCTCGCTGTCATCTTTAACACTGTGATAAAAAATGGGATGTTCCGTTTAAAAAAATCATGTTGGTCTTGACCTCGCCTTGATCCCTCCACTCAAGGTCAAACGGATATGATCATTCAATAGAACTTTTAAAACCTTACAACGTTAGTTGGAAACATTTTTCTCAGAAACGTTTCGTTTTTGACATATTTGACCGTTTCCAAACTTTTCTATCACCCTGTATATGTATGTATGTTATGTTCATATACAAACATATACAAACGCAATATTATCTTCGTTTAACTTCCTCTAATGATTGAACCGAGCTAAATAAAGATCGAATGTCTATGATACAAGTCATTCTTTTCAAATGTCTCCATAATCTTTTGTAGAATATTTAGTCTATATATATAAATTTATAGATGTAACTCACTATCCACCAAGTCATTATTATTAAAAAATTATTAGTAAACTAGTGCAAGAGATATTTGGGTAATTTAAACCTTTTCAAATTGTCCTACACAGTCTGTTCTATTGCATGACGTGCATTTATTTTCGCCAATTTTCTTTAAGGTTCCTATTATTTTGTTGCAGTCATCTTAAATAATCACGTTAAAAATAAAGAAACCCATGCTAAAGATTCCTACGATTTACGTTAAAATAAAAAAAAATATTCATAAAATATCCATTTATAAGACACTTGCAATCGATCAAACACATTTTTTAAATGTTCAGAAAACTTTTGTCGAAGCAATAAATAAATGGGTGAAAGTCAATGTGACAAGATTCTGAGAAGATATATCAAAAAAGAAGGTTACATATCATTAATTTTGCTGTTATTTATTGATTGTTAGAGTAAAGAGAAAGTTTTCGCAGAAAACTTATTAAAAATAATATTAGAAATTTACTCAATCGATTGTGTCATTCTATGAATATATTTTTTTATTTCGACGTAATTCATAGGAATTTGTAGTATAGGGTTCTTAACAACTCAGAGTTTCGCGGCTAGGGTCAGGAGTTTTAAAGTTCCTGGATATTCGTCACAACTATGTTGGATTGTGACATTAGAAGCGAGAAATGATACACTGAAAATTTTTGCGTGCCATTCTAAAGTAAAAATTAGTACAAAAGGATATCACTAAAACATATTTATAAAATTTTCCGAAAACAACCCTGTTCTTTTGACAATTAATCAATAATTATGAAATGACCATAATGTGAAGTTCAGTCGTATATATGTACAGTTATTTCATTTGACCAAGTCTTATATCACAGTCAATTTATATCTTATCATAGTCGTTTTATAGCTATTGATTGACCATCAAAAGAACAAGATAGTTTTCGGAGTACTTTACAAATATGCACTAGCAATCTTGAAGTATTCTTTTATATACATATTTTTTTATTTGAAAATAGCACATAAGAAATTTCATCATGTCATTTTCTCGTTTCTATTATCAATCTATTATCATATCTATTATCTATTATCTATGATCTATTATCATAATCAAGATATCAGAAAAAATATCAAGAGCCTTGACAATAAAGGCGCTACATGTGGAAAATAGAATACTATTATTATATTATAAAAGTAATAGAAATTTGTATTCAGTTTGATGTGCTTTACCTGCATACGACGGATGTTATACTGAAGTTTAGATACCTTCTATTATTAAGGCATATTCTAAGGAAAAATATTAACAAATATAATCAAATCGATTTATCAAAGTTACCTGTCTATGAAGAGCTTCCATGGCTAAAGCACCGGCCTCTTGTTCCTTCGGCCCTGCTTTGGGTTCCCTGCAGGCTAATATAGGACGGGAATACCTCGCTGCGAATTGTTTCTCGCTACCGAGAAAACCCGGCATCAGGAAATCAAACAGAGACCATAATTCGAGCACATTGTTCTGTACAGGTGTTCCGGACAATATGAGTCTGTGATTGGCATGCAATCGTTTGGCGGCCTTCGCACTCTTTGTTTTACCGTTCTTTATTATATGACCCTCATCGAGCACACAATAATTCCATTGACGGCCCCCAAAAAATTCAATCTCTTTCCGTATAATGTCGTAGCTCACGACCACAAGCTTGTAATGAACAACTAAAGGACGCAGTCTTTCGCGTTCCTGCGGCGGCCCGGCAAAGTGGATCACCGGAAGGTCTTTTGTCTTGAAGAATCTCTCTACTTCGTATACCCAGTGACCGGTAAGTGTTGGTGGACACACTACCAAACTCGGCGGCGCATCTGCATTGCGATGATGATCCAACGCTAATATACAAAGAGTCTGTAATGTCTTACCAAGACCCATGTCGTCGCACAATACACCGTGCAGGTGATAGCGATTCAAGAAATTCAGCCAATTCAAGCCCTGTCGTTGATAAGACCGTAACTCCGTGGCTACAGAAACTGGCAGTTCCGTGTCGGGGATAGTTCGCGGATTTAATAGTTGTTCCAAGAACAATCGCTCTTGCCTCTTCTCTTGCCTGTAAGAACAATATCGTCAGATGTCATAAAATAATTCATCCTATCTAGTCATATACTGCATAGGTATACAAATCTAATAAACTCTATCTTAATTAAAATATGCCCGTAGCGACTAAGCTCGCCGGTTAAAACCATTCTTGTTTCGCTTGTATAAATCTGTCGAAGTAATCAACAAATAGGCGAAAAATGAAGATGACAAAATCATGAGAAAAAGTAAGTTGAAAAGAAAGTTCGTGTATCATGTTCATTTTATTGTTATTTATTGATTGTATTAGAATAAAAAAAGGTTTCTGAAGCATTTTAGCATTTTGTTCAATCGATTGCAAATATCATTTTATAGATATATCTTCTTATTTCGACGTAATCCATAGGAATTTTTAATATGGATTTTCTCGCTTCTGTCACCCATCAAGAGTTCCGTAGCAAGATCAGGATCCATTAGAGAAGAAGAAAAAAATTACTTCTCTTTCAAGTTAAATCACATAGCCTTACTTATTCTAATTTGAGTTGAGTTCCATTTGAGTGAAGTACAAATCTATTAATATGTTGACCACTGACATTAAAGTTGACTAATGACATTAAAGAACCCTATTTCCGAACTCTATTTTACAATCAGCGTGTTATTTTAATATGTTAATTAATATTTCTTGTTATTCACTCAATTTACTTACATGATTACAACTAAAAAAAAAATCTATGTAAAAATTAACATATGAAATAAATTGTTTTTGCTCGCCAGCTACGAGATAACTGATATTTCTGGCAATCAATGTATTAACTAATTAATATCAAGATGTTAACAATTTCTAAAAACCGAAGTAACTTTCGGGAATGTCATACCCTAAGTGACTGTACTACTAAATATCTAGTAAATAATGTTCTATATGAGTAATGTGCATTAAACTTTTCCGGATGAGACAATGATCTTTATACTGCGAAAATTATTTCAATGAATGACAATAGTAAAGAGGACAATAGTAAAGATGACAATAATTAATATTATTGTTTCATCGATGAAATAAAAATTCAGGATCATGTTAACATGCAAGCGTATGTAACAAGTCTAAAAATAGTTCCTAATACGTTTTATATTGTCAAATATTTTCGTCGCTTCATGTTAATTTAAAAATCGTCTAAAGAAATATTTACAGAGTTTTTGGATATTAACCAAAGTAAGAAATGGTTAATAAGAGCAAATGTCAGTAACAAAATTACATTAAGAACAAGAGGATATAATTATATTTTTACAGTGCAGCATATGTTGTTATGATTGTTAGATTTTTAGTACAAGTCCTATTCAGATGAATGTCTCAATTTATAATTTGTAACAAGTATATCAGTTTTTCTTAATAAATCAACTAATATGAATCCACATTTATTCTAAATATTTGTTCTTACACTATATTTTATATCGATTATAACAAGTTTTGAATAAAATTACAGGCCATAGTATAAAAGCTGGAATATTATAATTATAAGCATGCTGCTGACAATGACAGGTTAAATAGCTAGAACTGACATCTTAGAAATTTGTAGATAATATTAAATGTCCATTTTGTAGATTTATACAATTATTCTTCAATTTTTCAGAACAAATTAAACTGTCATGTCACTAAACGATACTGTGTGGTTGTAAAGAAATAATAATGTAAAGAAATAAATTATTTTTATATATGAGAAAAATACAATATAATTAAAGTCCCAAATGTTCAAGCTTCCCAACAACCTTTCAACAAGCTTTCCATCAACTTCACTTATTTAGTTTAATATGTATATTATTAATTTATTAATATCATGAATTAGTTTGAGTATTAGTTGGAACATTCACCTTAGTAACAAACTGTTATATGTCAAAAACCATTTTATATCTCTCGACTTTTAAGCCGTGATAAGAACCTCTTTTATGCAGTCTTATCAAATTTAGAGTTTGTAACAAGTACTGTTATATAAGTTTGTTGTAAGATATGAATTTATATAAATATTAACATACACTAAATTTGGCGGATCTCCGATTGCCCCAGGATCCAGTGGTAATAATTGAACGAGCGTGGCGAACGTCGAGCTGCAAATCCATCTCACTGACTGATTCTGATCGCTCATACGTCCGAGTAACGGTACCATGAAGAGCACAGCATATGGTACTACTTGTACTCCCAAACTTTCGACAAGGCAAGCCAATGCTTCCGCCGCTCCTTGACGTACTGAATCGACGTTGCCTGGAGTTACAGTGCCGACAGAATTTCTCCTTTCACCGCCGCTTGTTTCCAACATCGGTATGACGGAGCGTATTATGTGTACCATCGTCTGAGAAAAATTTCACGTTATGCTTGTCGGTGCACACATCAATATGTATGTATCTTATGAAGAAAGGGAGAAAAAGAACGTTACCTTTTCCGTATTAAGTTTTGCTAACGTAGCTATACATCGTGCCGCCATGTGTCTGACTGCTTTGTACGAATGCGCTAATAAATTACACAAATGTGGCAGACGATCCAGCGCCGGTGGCAAAATCAACTTATTTAAACTAGGTGCCATGGTCTCCAAAACTTGTAAACCAAAGATCAATTGATTCCCTTCCTCCTCAATTATTTTCTCAGGTCCGACTTCATTCTTTACCTTCTTTAATAAGCTTGCCATTATTAGTTCCCAGAGATGAGGCAGACGAGATGGCAATTGCGGACCGAAAAAATCAGCTGTAAAAATACAATAATATTAACACATACATGTTTTGTATGTTCGCGACGTAAATCAAATGTTAATTAACGAGTTGGTTAAAGCCTGTATTATAATAGATATTGGAGATGAAAAACTTTGAATTTGAAATTAGAGCTTGAAATAACTGAGTTCATAAAAAATTAACGTTATACTTAATTCAGATGTGCGGAATATACAAGCAAATAATATAAAAATAATATAAAAATATGTTAATACATCAAATTGATGATGGTAGAATTGCAGCCAATTGCGATACGTTGATTGTTGATATGATATTATTCTTCCAAGAAAAAATCCACCAATGTTTTTGCACGACTCTTATTGACTTAAATTAATTGTTGATGAATTAAATTAATGAATTAAATTCAAATTATCTCGATTGCTAAATTTTTAATCCTTAATTCGCACAATTGTTAATCTCTAATATTTCATTTATAGATACGGATTTAATATATGCCAAAATCTAACGAAGTAAATTCATTATACCTATAGTTGTCAATGCAAAAGTGGCTCCTCGACGACGCGTTCTGGCGGCTTTAGCTTCCGGTTCTTCGCAAGAAAGTAACTCTTCTAGAGGGATCTCAGTCGTCGGCGGTCTACCGGGACTTCTAGTGCTCCCAAGTCCGCCACTTGCACCGCGATTGTACGCTATTCTCTCGGCGTGTTTTTGCCTATTATTCAACGTAAGAATTCCGTCGGTTACATTTGCGTCTCCTCCGCATGAAACTCGTGGTGTAAATTCCACGTCGGAACATAGAAATGCACATAAATTAGTGGAGATCTGCAATGGAAAAAAGACTATCATAAACTTTGATACTTTTGACAAGTTAAACTCATCACGACAAATTATATTTCTCATGTCGAAGTGCATGATGACGAGTCTGGCTCGGTTCAATGTACTATTCAATAAGTATCACACAAATTTATATAAAGAATATTTATATAGAAAATACTTATACAGAATACTCTGTGCTATTTTTAGCATTATAGTACTGTATGTTTCACAAACAATATACATCAAAATATTGTTATTATTATTATTTATTATATTAAAAGAGGTATGTATATTTTGAAGTGTATATATTAGAATATTTATATAAGAATAAGATCAATATCAGTTATAACATATTGAATAATAACTTTCGATGTAATGTTTGGGAAATATACACTATTATAACACCGAAAATAGCAAGGAACATTTAATATGAAAACAATAACCAAAGTTTTGATGAGAAAGTATCTTTAGAATAATCGGATCAAGCATTTCATAATGGCCCTTCAGATGAAAATTATAGGGAAATAAAAACTGGCAATGATGATAATACAGTATCAAGAGCTCGAAAATATGTAAGATATTTATCAAGCAGTGATGATAAGACTTTTAATAATTTATTATTAGAATAGATTTTGAGAAAAAGAAAAGATGTTCTGAAAGTAAAATCTTCAGAAAATTTCTGGAATAAATATATCATGTAACAATTATAAATTGGACCCATATTGAAAATGTTCCCAGATGAAATCGGTACTAAAGTGATATCATTCTTTACTATAAATTATATAATAAAAAATCCCAAGGCGCTCATACTTCTCGAGTGTTAAAGCTAGAACTATGTTGTAAAACAGAAATTTCATATTGCATTTATCTTTACCTTCACATTTGGCGACGGTTTTCTATCAACGCAAGCGTCGACCAAGCGAGCTAAATGCTTCGCAGCTAATTTTTGAAGTTCCTCATTTTCTTCGCGTTTTATAGCTTCCATCAATGGCTTTACCACTGGGTTAAGTGGCTGTGGTGATGGCGGTAAACAACGTAACATCGTAGCGGCACCGGCGAGCGCAGCTGCTGACATCACGTGCAACATATGTTGTTGCGTCATCGTTGTGGACGCTCCGGTTTGCAACGCTTGCCTCCTTTCCTCCAATTCATCGTTTAATTTGGGTTTTATCTTAATGTTTATTGGAGAAGAACTAACATTAAAAGGACCGCCTGGTTTCGTATGACCTTTGGCACCCATGGTGCAAAGTGTCGAAATTTTTTTTCCAGTGATCGTCATGATTTGGTCGAGAGTCATTAAACCAGTTGTATCCACTTCGATAGGCACCGGAAGTCCGTAATGCTTTAAGGTTGCGATATAATCTCGACTTTCGTGTAACAAACGAGTAAAAGCATTTGCGATTTCGTCATAGTATACACACTCGTTCAAACAGACCAGCAGTTTTTCCCTTTAAAAAGAAAAACTGTCGTTAACATCAAGACCAATTATATAAGTTATCTGAATTCGAGTACGACATTCGTCATGTGCAAGCAGAACGTTTGAAATTCGACAAAAAATCCATACTATATATTTTCTATGTAGTGCCTTTGTTAATAAGATATGATGAAACGAGCTCCGTAAAAACGTTTGAAAAGACATATCATGGATTAGTTTTTTGGTTTCCTAGCAAAGACAAATATAGACGTGGGGTCATAGTATATCGTATAGCATCGCGCATGGAATGTTGTATCTCAGCGTTCGCAATGTTATTCTGCCTTTTATTGACAACTAATATTTATCGACATAGTACAAGACATCTTTTCTATATATAGAACATCCGGGATATTTGGAAACGAAAAATTGTGAAGATTAATCGGATCAAAGTGAGAAGAAAAGTCAATTATCATTATGCAAAAACCGCAATAATTATTAAGTTATTAATGATTGAAAATGATCACATCTAGAGACTTTTTTAATTGATAACTTGAAAATTTTTGTACTTATTTGCAAAATGGTAAAGGATCTTTTGTTCAGAAACCTAGTCTATATTTATATGACGACTATTGTGTTTAGCGATAGATTCAAGATTTAGGAGTCAAAGTTCGATATATTCAAATCTATTGCTAGACATAATAATCATCACATAATTGTAGATTAGGTCATTTTGAATGAAAAAGTTCTTTACTATTTTGTAAATAAGTACGCACATTTTCAAGTTATCAATTAACCCTTTAACGCCTACTGGTAACTATAATTACCAGAAACGCATTTAAGAATCCATAACTTAGTCAAAAAAGGAGACATTTTCGTTTTCTTTGCATCACTATAAAGATGAATTCTTCTTCTAAAAAATGGTATATAGATTGTATGTAAATTCGGTTTAGTCTGTTTTTAGCTCAGTTTTAATGATAACATGTTTTGTCAAATTCCAAGTAGGCATAGTTAGCATTGTTACTGACATCTAAAAGTGCACTATAAATGAATAGATTGGTATTTGTTATAATTTTATACATTTGGAAGCTTTCTCAGATGCAAAATGTGAAATTAGAAGAATACAGAAATTCAAAATGGCGAATCCAATATGGTGGACACGAAAATCAAGAAGGGTGCGGTCCATCAATCGCTACAAATGCTTCGAAGTGTTTTTACTTCTCTCTCTTTCTTCGTTTGCATCCGGGAAATAGAACGAGAAAGAGAAACGCTTCAAAGCATTTGTAGCGGTTCCCGGACCGCACTTTATATCAACCTATTTTCGTGAAAACTGATGACCTAGTTTTTTATGTGGCGAAAAATAAAGGGACAATTGACTATCTAAATGGTGATCTATAAGATATTCTTCTGAAATAGTAAGCTTGACGCTCTGAATAATAAACTTCACTCACAAACATAGTAAAGTTTTAGCTCAAAAATATCAAGCTGACTGTCGGAGTTATGTCGTATAGATTACCCTTCATTTTCCTCTGTATAGGTTGCTCATTTCGTATATGTTTTTAGGATCCGTCATATTTACCAATAAACAAAAAACAAACGATAAAAAAAACCAATATAAAATTCTGATATTTTTTTTGGTTATCACTATTTATAGTCTTAGTTCAAAAAAACTTAAATTTTATTCTTAAAACACTTATAAAAAAGTCGGGCGTTAAAGGGTTAAAAGAGCCTCTGGGTCATTTTCAATCATTAATAACTTATCCTAATTAACTTATTTATATTAAGAACTTAATAATTATTGCGATTTTTGCAAAATGGTGGCGCAAAAAACTTAATTTTTCTTCTCTGTTTGATCTGATTAATCTTCATAATCTTTCCAAAAGATCCCGGATATACTGTATAATTGCCTTATATAACTTCCCTTATCATAAATATAATTATCCCACCGCGTAACGAGCATTCATATTTGCTAATTTTCTTTAATATCTTAATAATAAAATTTTATATTTAAATTAACGTAATAATAATTAAATACAATATTTAAATTAACAACATCTTAATAATAAAACATGAGAAAGAGGCATATTTAGCTTGATACACATATTCTTAATTGCACACGGTGGACATCGTATAGCGCATCTTTAATTCATACAAAATACGATAAAAAAGTCTTTCCGGTACCAAATGAAACTTAAATACAAGACCTATAAAAATCGTTAGATGTCACGAAACATGAAATTTAGTAATAGTTATATAATTTTAGACGTTACAATTAATTATAAAACGTTACAAACGTTTTGGCTTGTTTTGGATTCTTCTCAAACAAATTGCACACATTGTAATTGCGATATTGTAATTCATGCGTTTTATTATTGGATGTACAAATTAGTTCGGTCCGTTTTCAAAAGATGGCTCCGGCTGTTATGAATGGTTCATAGTGACTGCCGATTTTGGCGGTTTCAGAGAGATTAGACATCTGCCAATAATATTTAGTTTATATCGCTTTGAGTTTCATACAAAAACCTTGCTTTTTACAGTGTTGAAAATGTCGAATTTTGTGTTAACCAAGCAGCATTTGCGGGAGATTTTAATTTTCTGTTTTAATTGGAAGAAAAGTGCAGCTGAAACCCATCGAATGCTTGTTGAAGTTTATGGCGACGCTGCTCCAACATGATAAATCATGTAGGGAATGGTTTCGACGTTTCAAGGATGGAGATGTCAGCGTCGAAGACAAGCCTCGCTCTGGACAGCCAAAAAATTTCGAGGACAAAGAATTAGAGGCATTACTCGAAGAAGATCAGAGTCAAACGCAAGAGGAGCTTGCAGAATCATTGGGAGTGACTCAACAAGCCGTTTCCGTACGATCGAGAGACATGGGATTTATTCAAAAACAAGGAAATTGGGTGTCTTATGAACTGAAACCGAGAGACGTTGAAAGGCGATTTTTCACTTGCGAGCAGCTGATTCAAAGGCAACAAAGAAAAGGTTTTTTGCATCGGATTGTAACTGAAGATGAGAAGTGGATATTCTACAACCCCAAGAAGAATAAATACTACGCCAAGCCCGGTCAATTATTGCCATCGACCTCAACATCAACACCAAAACCGAACATATATGGTTCGAAGATCATGCTCTGTATCTGGTGAGACCAAAAGGGTGTTGTTTACTATGAGCTGGAACCTGCAGATCCCATTACGGGCGATCGGTATCAGCTATAATTGATTCGTTTGAGCCGTGCATTGCGAGGAAAACGGCCGGAATACGAGCAAAGACATGATAAAGTTATTCTTCATGACAACGCTCGGCCTCATGTCGCAAAAGTTGTAAAAAAATATTTGGAAACGCTCAAATGGGATGTTTTACCGCATCCGTCGTATTCTCCGGACATTGCTCCTTCTGATTACTGGTTGTTCCGAAGGATGCAGCACGATTTGGCAGATCACCGGTTCACTTCTTTCGCAGAAATCGAAAATTGGCTCCAAACTTGAATCGCCTCAAAAGACTAGTCATTTTCTCGAGATGGAATTCGAAAATTGCCTGAGAAATGGGAGAAAGTAGTAACCAGCGATGGAAAATACTTTAATTGATCTGTTCATTCATTTTGTTTTGAAATAAATACATTTTTTAACACAAAAAACGGACCGAACTAATTTGTACTCCCAATACACTGAGAAGGGTTTTACCCTCTTTGAAGTATACATTTTTCCCGACGCGTAATTTTCGTCGAACTCCCCTATAAAGGGTATTTTAATCCGCTGAATACGAATCTGAGGTCGAAAATTAGAAGTTTTCAAAATTCAAGATGGTGGATCGAAATGCTCAAAATTAGACTGACTTATATCAAATTGTATATTGTGCCAATGTTTTTGGGCTCACTGATTACGAATCTGAAATCTAAATCGAGAAATTTACAAAGTGGACTTGCAAGATCTGCAATGTTTCTTTGTGCTTGAAATCAGAATGAAACTGTTCCTCTTCCTTCCACACACATGATATTGTAAGGCATTAACTTTGAAATACATACTGTCTCTGCTTTGATTTGGATTCTCCATATTGGGACCGACATTTTGAATATTTTTTTACTTCGGATTCATAATCAACGATCTCGAAAACCTTCGGATACACTATTTGATGCGAATCGCTCTAATTTTTACAATCTGATCCGCTATATTGAGTCTGCCATCTTGAGTTTCTCAATTTCAACTTCAAATTTATAATCAGCCATTCCAAAAACCCCCGGATACACAGTTTGATGTGAATTGGTCTAATTTTCACGATTTTGATCCGCCATCTTAAATTTTGGGAAACTTACAATTATGACCTCATATTCGTGATCAGCGGTTTCGAAAACCCCCGGAAAACAAATTTTAGGACATATTATCAGAGCGAAATACATAGTTACGATAGATTTTTATAATCTATGTTTTTTTCAAAATTGAAACCGTCATATTAGTACAAGTTTTGAGAATTTTGAAATTTCGACTTCATTTTCGAAATCGATGTCCAGCGATGTCCAAAATCTTAGGGTACATACTATCAGAAAAATAAATGAAGAAATTTTTTATAGTTTGACGAGGTGCGACATATGCCACACCATGCTTGAAAGAGTTAAAACGAAACTGAAACATCTGTAACGTTTTATAATTTATTGTAATATCTGAAGTTATTTTATAACTATTAATAAATTTCGCACATCGCGTGCGCGGCACCCAACGTACGACTTGCATAGATTTCATGTTTCAAGAAATTTGATTTCAATTCAGTGTGTGCGCATAAAGATGCGTATCTCATCATACCTGAGTATGTCCGGTATCACAGGCGGCTTCAGAGGATCTACGTTCGCCCAGTGTGACATCGTGAGCCCTGCGACAGTACGTTGTAAGGCTGATCTTGAATTGAGATATGCCAGTAACACCTTAGCGTAACAAAGCGTAGGACTTTGTATCTCCGGTGTATAAACAACACCGGGCGCTGGTTGCACCACATAATACGACAACAATCCTAGCATGCGAGACGCCCTGCAACGAACCTGTACCGCGTTCACCTTTCGCACATTCTGTGCCACCGTCTCGATCCCTCCGATGTACATCTTCAGTTCGGACAACGACTTTGTGTTCACATTGGTGTTACTGCTATTGTCGTTCGAGTCAGACTGGCCGTCGGAATAGGTGATCGTCTGATTATACGGCTTAGTAATCTTGGTATTACTGGTTACTGTCACCAATAAACTTGGGTTAAACGGCACATGTTCCGGCTGCATAGCGAGACAGAGCCACGTACTGATGAGAGGGCATGTCGCATGCAGCAATAATTCGAGATCACTATTTACGACTAGATTCTCCCAGACGTTTTCCGCTACGTCCTGTATTGCAGGAATATGCTCGATCAACACACACTGATACACATGTCGCAATGCTTCCTGAAGTCCAAATGCACCGTTCTCGCCCCATCGTTCTTGCTTGTCCTCGTTACGATCGTCGCCAGTGAGAGTTCGCATCGTCTGCAGTGTAGCTTTACGTACGCTTGAACTCGGGTGGCTGAGAAACGGCCATAAACGTGGTAATACCTGAACACGATTTAATTTCTATGGTCAGTTCTTTTTAACTGCAATAAATTAGGGTGAGGAGAAATATAGTTGTCTCCCTCTCCCTCTCCCTCTCTCTCTCTCTCTCTCTCTCTCTCTCTAAGTTATTGCACCAGTTTAGCAGTGCAGCTAAAAAGAATAGACCAATAGTTTCCCATACTTAATGAGTTTTGTCATCCCATTATAATTTTCTACAATTAATATAACTCTAACTGCAGTTGAGGTTCCAGTTTCCACATTGCCAACATTAAAATTAGCTACGTTTGCATAACCACTTCAAATTGGTTTAGTGACATTCTATGTTTATATGAATGTAATGATCTAAAAGCGATTTAATAATTCCTGCTGTTATCGTTATTAATACTATATACTATACAGGGTGTCCCATTTAACCTGACAAATCGTAATATCTGGAAAACTACATGTCGGATCAAAAAAAGTGGGTAATGAAATTTGTTCGTCTCGAAGGGGGACATCCAATGATATCAAACTCGACCTCCCACCCCACTCCCGGGGGGTGAAAGTGGGGGCAACTTTGAAATCTTAAATGGGAACCCTCATTTTTTGTTACAGATTCGGATTCTACACCACAAAATACGTAAGTTTCGTCTGAAACTTTTTTTCTTATTCGTAATAGATGGCGCTGTAATCGCAAAAAATTAGATTTTCTGCAATTCTCCAGAAATGATCATTGGATTGAAAAATAAAAAAATACCTGTTCAATATTTTTAAAAATATTTTTAAAAAACATAATAACAGTTATTCCCCCCTAAAACAAGCACTCCGAAGGGAACAAAAAGCTACTACGTCCTCGTCGTTGTTCCTGGGTAACGCTAAAAGTAGTTTCTCGGAAAAATTCAACGCTATCTATCACGCTATCTATCAATGAAAAAAATTGTTTCCATAAAAACTTCATGTAAAATCTAATTCTGCAATGAAAAATATGGGTTCTCATTTGAGATTTGAACGTTACCACCCACCCTACCCCGAGGGGATGGGGGGGAATAACTGTTATTGTTTTTTAATATTTTTAAAAATATTGAACAGATATTTTTTTATTTTTGAATCCAATGATCATTTCTGGAGAATTGCAGAAAATCTAATTTTTTGCGATTACAGCGCCATCTATTACGAATAAGAAAAAAAGTTTCAGACGAAACTTACGTATTTTGTGGCGTAGAATCCGAATCTGCAATAAAAAATGGGGGTTCCCATTTAAGATTTCAAAGTTGCCCCCCACCTTCACCCCCCGGGAGTGGGGTGGGAGGTCGAGTTTAATATCATTGGATGTCCCCTTTCGAGACGAACAAATTTCATTACCCACTTTTTTTGATCCGACATGTAGTTTTCCAGATATTACGATTTGTCAGGTTAAATGGGACACCCTGTATATGTATATCTAGTTATAACATCCGTTTAAGTTAATTTTATATTGGTTGTGTATATGAAATATGAGTTATAATTTGTATGATTTGTATGGATGTTATTAATGTTCGTTTCTGCCTAAATTGAAGTCTTTGTCTAAATAAAATTTAAACTCAGGCTCTTGTTCCCTCGCCGGTCATCTTGATAATGTCAGAAGCTAACGTTAAAAATTTCTATTGATTATATTAGAGTAAAAATATATATTCATGAAGTGACATTTATAATCGACTAAGCACATTTCTAAATCGCCCTGAAAACGTTCTTTCTACTTTAACAATCAATAAATAACTGTAAAATTAATGATATGTAACTATTCTTTTCAATTTACTTTTCCTTATAATTTCGTCACGTTAATTTATTGATTGCTTTGACAAAAGAGGAACTTTCGAACATTTTAGAAATGCATTCAATTGCATCATTTTGTAGATACATCTATTTATTTCGACGTGATTTATGGAAATTTTTAGTCCGGATTTTCTCATATCTAACGTCATCAATCAAGAGTTCTATGACAAAAGACCGAGAATCAAATTTCATCGTGTAAAAAATCGGTTTTAGTAACCATTCATATATACACATAATTGCATATCGTTAACAATGAACGCATATTTGCAGACAAATGTTTTTCGAATAAAAAAAGAAAAAACAACCACTATATTACCTGCGATAACGGTTGAGGTTTTAAACAAGCTTGTGCGGTCGGCAATGAAAGTATCGCTGCCAACAGACCCATGAAACTGTTGCAGGCGGCTGCAAGATCATCTTGTTCTTTCAATAATCGCCAAAGCCGTGTCACGATCGCCTCAAGCTCCGATGGTTTGAATAATCGTGGGAGTGCCGATGCTACCGGTATAAGCGCACTTGCGGCAGCTGCACCAACGTCGTCCACAGGATCAGACAATCCTTGTATAACAGAGGGAAACACTCTTGGCAGTACTTCATCCAATAAGTCGTTCCGTACAGCGAGTAAATATTTGAGCGCAAGAAGAGCACCGTGCCTGGCCTCCCACTCGTAGTGTTCCAGTAACTTCATCATTACTGAAAGTAATCCATGAAAAACGTCAACTGTACCGTCGACCTGTGACTTAGCCGGCACTAACATCAGAAGAGAGCCTAATGCTTGCGCACATGTTTCTCGTACTGGCGCAACGACTTGATCGGAAACGAAGTCTCCAAACCGATCAAGACCCAATACGCATAATAATCGTAAAGCGGCGTCAGTTATCCATCTGTGATGGCTCTCTCTCATTTCCTCCAATGTCTGATCTCGAGATTTGCCTGCTCCTACAAAGCACTAAAGGTTAATATTGTCCAAAAAATCAATAGGTACGATTTACATACCTCTGCCATGGAGTCTTATAAGTTCGCGTAAAGCCGTCGCTGCTCCATGACGTACTTCCCACTTTTGACTGAACAAGTCCTGACACAGACTCTCCGCGAAAAATTCTAAAGGCCAATCTATGACAGAATCTGGCCAGCATCCAGTTATATCTGGAACGCCGCTCGCTTGCTCGTTGTATGCGCTGGTTGACTTTGATCCAGCATCCGATGAGATCATTTCCTCTACTAATATTTTTTTGGTTAAAGGTTCAGAATCGTCTGGTGACTGGACGTTCGTTGAATTCACATGGTCTTCGCGATCATCAGGCTCACGTGAACGTTGCTTCGACACTGACTGACGTGCCTATATTATTAAAATATGAATTGTCAACTTCATTGCAAAATTTATTTAGTTAATATTAAACTACGATTATTTTAAGATTATTTTAAGATATATTATTTTTAAAGTTTTTAATAATATATGTTTGCTGAAGGTGCGAAAGATAACTAAAATATAAATGCTGATTTTTAATAAGAGCTAAACAGCACAACGATACCTTGCGCTTTGCTCTGTTCATTTCCCTTCTGCTTAATCCTTCTGACTGTTTTAAAGTCTCATTGACAGACATCGTAGTGTGTTTCGTGCAGCTCGATTGCATTGTAAGGTCCTCAATGGTAAATAAGTCAGCAGTGAAATCCATTAGACGTGGATGAAAACCTAGTTTCATCGCTAGGTTTTCCTTCTGGTCGGGTACCGAAAGTTGCTCTCCTTCTGCTATGATTAAATCATACTCACTGCCCTCAGATCCAGTAAGATGTGTACTACGAGCTAGGACTTTGCTCACATCAAAGTTTTCTAATTTCAATTTTGCAGAGGTCTTGCGTCTTGCTGCGTCTAATTCATCTGTTAATACAAAAAATACAATCAAAGCTCCTTCACTCCTCTTTTCTTGAAAAAGTTTTAGTTACTCATTTGTTAACATATAAGAATTTTACCAGGTTTTTTATTAACAGGATCTGGATTCCAAGATGGTACTTGAGAAAGTATAGCCTGCACAGCATGAGCAGCAGATATTCGGGTGTCCCATTGCGAAGATTTTAGTAAGGTAGAAACTCTCGCTAACAAATGATGCAAATCATGAGGATGTAGTCTCTGTGCCTCTCCCAACTGTTGTGCAGCTGCTCGTTTGGTTGATATATTTGTCCCAGTCTCCAACAGTATGAATAATCTGTCTAATCTATAAAAATATAGACAAGAAGCAAGTATTATTATAGGCATAATGCAAATTACAGACATGAAGAGAACTTATTGCTAATTATTATTTATGATTTTAATATTACAATATATCACATTATTATTTGTAATTTTAATATTACAATATATCGTAATATATGAAGCATTCACTATGTTATTATAAACATCTCAGAAATTTGATTACGTAAAAATATTTCTTTTGATATTTTATTTAGTATTTTAATTCTCACAGTATAAAAAGGTATTTTTTTTATTCATATGCAAATACTTCCATTAATATTTATGCACTGAACATAGGATATACATGTAAAATCTAGCATTATATCAAAGTATACATAAAGTGTGAATAAAGATTATGTAATTTATTTCATATAAATTTACCTTGATGTCATGATTGTGTGTAATATTGTTGGATAGATCACCTATGAATACCTGAAGTCAAATAATTATAAGCTCTTATTACTTGTTATTATTTGTGCTTGTTATTGTTTGTGTTTGTTATAATATTCTCAAATATAGTGTACATATACATATATACATATATATTATAAATTTATACTAACACTATCAAGTAGTTTTCAGTAGTACTCAAACCATCGATTCTCCAGCTCTGATATGAAACAAACTAAAGTTACCAACTATGCAATATTAGTCAAGAACTTAAATTCCAAAATTATATGAATATGATCAATGTCCTTTATTGCATAAAGGAAAAGAAAACAACATATGGAGCATGTTATGTAGATAATCCTTTATATTATAGCATGTGATATATGCTAATATATAATGCTGAAGCAACGATGAATAATTATTGATACTTTCTTCTGATATCTTGAGAAGAGAGTTTGTGAGAAATGATTTTTCACTGAAAGAGAGAAGTATCGTAGCAACCGATCATCAAAGCTAGAAGGGTAGCTTCGAACACGGAAGAATGCGAAAATGAGAGGATACGAAAGGATAACATGAGGATGGGGTGGAGACGAGAGAGAGGAGAGAGGAGGAAGGAAAAGAGAGAGAGAGAGAGAGAGAGAGAGAGAGAGAGAGAGAGAGAGAGAGAGAGAGAGAGAGAGAGAGAGAGAGAGAGAGAGAGAGGAGAAAGAGAGAGGAAGAGAGAGGAAGAGAGAGAGAGAGCGAGAGAGAGAGGGGGAAGGGAGGGGGGAAGGGAGAGGGGAAGGGAGAGGGGAAGGGAAAGGGAGAGGGAAAGAGAGAGAGAGAGAGAGAGAGAGAGAGAGAGAGAGAGAGAGAGAGAGAGAGAGAGAGAGAGAGAGAATAAAAAAGAGAAATAGAAAGAGGGAGAGGGAGAGGGGGAGGGGGAGAGAGAGAGAGACAGAGAGAGAGGTCCAGTGAGAACGCGTCTCGAGACCATCGCCCGATATCGCATGGCTATACTATCACAACGGGATAGTGGACACGCATAAAGCGATCGTGCATAACCCGTCGTCGAGGGACGCACGCAAAATCGCAGAGCATCAGGCCGAAGCGCAATATGGACATAACGAGCACGAGTCGATCGCCAAGAGTGACACAGGGGTGACGTGTGTACCTGTTCTCTCTCGGGAAGCGTTCTCACTGCCTCGCACCAACATCAGCCAACCTGCATTGCCGTATCCCAGCGTAGCACGCTCACGAAAGTCACATCACGCTGCGCGTGTCGCGAAACTGCGCATACGTTTGTCAAATTTCTCGGAGAGAAACTCATGTTACAAGCATCAAATTTATACTGACAGCCATATTGCTGGTGAGCCTGAGTTTTGTCCCCTGATTTTGCTCCCATTGGTCAACAACGCGCATGTCACATGTCGGCCGGCCAATCGCTAAACCGCCGCTCAACGATCGCACGCAAGTGTATGCAACGCATCTACCGAAGTTGCGCGAGAGCGTTTCGCGTTAGATGTGTGCGACATCGAGTTAGTAGTAGCGTCACTGTTGGCCTGGTGAATTATTCATTCGTTGTCAATAACATCGAGAGTTTCGCGATGATTCTGCAATGTTAGGTACCATCGGTGGACGGCATGAGTTTTGCAGCAGAAAATCAAATCGAACGTTTAACAAGAAGAAGAAACGGAAATATATGCCGAATCTCGTGTCCTGTAGGGAACGAATAAAAATGAAAAAGCCGACAAAAAAGAAAAAAATGCGAATGGAATCGTCGACGGCCAATACGTTTCATTCTGAACACAAAGATTTTATCTTAACATGTTGACCGCCACAGTGGTTACTCGTGATCGGCGTTACTAAATTTTTTAAAGCGACTAAAGGCCTGTCCGTTTTGTCTGCACTATTGAACTGGTGTATTAAGTTAAAGTGAGACAAATGTAGGTTTTCTCACTTCAACTTGTTGCACCAGTTCAGCAGTGCAGACAAAACGAACAGACCTTAAAATAAGATGAACATAATTAAATCGGGAAGGGAAACAATTTTGAACATAAATAGTTACATAATGCTGTGGATTAAAAAGTGCGGTATTAAACTAATTAAAAATTTGTATTAGACCGCATATATTTTATAAAAATTAAATACAATATACTATATTAAAACATTTTAAGCAGAAATAGGGCTTTGACCATCACAATTTTTGCAGTATGTAATTAATTTTTTCTACGATTTTTTGCATTTTGCGTACTGAAATTGCAACATTTTTCTTGTAACATTTCTTGTAACAAATGTTTACAAAATTTTCATATGCTTGTTCTGTTTTCTTTTGAATTTCATGATGTAACTTTATCACAAGAACATTGTTCTAGGCAGAACAGAAAATTATGATGACTCAAAATGATATAAAAAACTTTTTTTATAATTCAGTCATTTTCTCGTCACTTTGATGTTATCGTTTGTAATTTTTTGTTTTACTTAAGTGTAGGGCCATAATATAGTTATGGGTGACCATCAGTGAGATAAACTATTATAAACACTATTGATAAAGATATGATCTTATTTAGTTACATTAGTTGATATTTTATCATTATATGCTTAGAATAATGAAAATTCTATTGTAGCCTCCAAAACAAAAAAAAAACTTGCATGTGTCAATGTGTTAAGATATAATTATTTTGGTAATAAATAATATCTTCACCAATTTTCAGAATTTTAAAATAAAAGGATTAGCTATTTAATTATATTTTATAATTTTTTAAGAGAAAGTTTTTAACTATTTAATTGTATTAATACCCATACAACAAAGTGAAAAAAACATTGCTGCAATGTTGGAACAATGTTGCAGCAATATTGCTGCAATTTCTGTGCTATATAAGTACGAATTTTATATCTCTAAGAGATGAAAACAATGATAGCATAAAAATTTCTGTATCCTAATTGCAAATTAAATTTGATTATCTTTGCATTGTTTTTGGCTTGTTTTTGCCCGGTATTGGAAAGTAATAAATGGTTGCACTCAGCAGGAAAGCTGTTTTACAACTATTGTAACATTTGTGAATCTATTCGACATATTAAATTTGATTGAATCCAACAGCGTACACCAATCAGATTCACAAGTTTTACAACAGTCGCGAAGTAGCTTTGTTTCCTGAATGTAACCAATGAGTATATGCATGCAATTGACAGATATTATTTTATTTGAATAAAAAAAGGAAAATATTTTGTTGTTGCCATTGATTAACTTTGCAAGAATATTCGCGATTATGTTTATGTGGTAGCAGCAGGCTGTGATGCTTTATCGTTATTTTTTGTTGGTCAACTATACCTCGAAATACACGATGTATATATCGTGCTAATTACATGTTTGAAGATATATGTATTTTAGGAGCGTCACTAAGATATATCACTAAGAAAAAAAAAACGAAATTACATAGTGATTAAATGTTTCTCTTTGAAACAAATACAAGGATATCGTGGTGCAATTTCCACGATTGAAAGTTAAACGTGCTTTCAGCATTGAAGTTTTATGAAAGGATATATGAATCTCCTAAAAACGAGACTTTGAAAACTAACTTTGTTACACATATAAATTTGGCATTAAATGTTTAATTTTCTTCTAGTAATTTAATTCTTCTAATAATTTAATTTTTAAAAATAATGGAAGACTTAAGTTATTGTAAAATTTGGATGTACATTTGTGAAGTGCATTATCATAACATTTTTATTTGAAATATTTTTGAAATGTATCTCATGATTTTTCTCGACAACATTCACATAGAACTATGTATACCATATTATCTTTGAAGATGTTTTATTTTCTAAAATTTCATGCTTTAAATTCCTCTTAAGAAAATATATGCTTCAATTTATATATATATTTTTTTTTATATAATTTCTATAATATATTTTTGAGAAAAAAGTCAGAATCAAACAGTTGTAACAGTTCTTTTAAACTACTTTTTTAGTTAAAGTAGATTGTACTTATTGTACTTTTTTTTAAATGAAATAGATATCCAAATAGGGTAGAATAAATACCCAGATAGGTAAAAATACCCAAATTAGCAGATTTGGTGTAGTGTCTGCAATTAGCATTGAAAAGAGAAAGAATAAAGGTTCAATACAATATTAAGTCAATTAAAAAGAAAAAAAATCCTCCTGTAAGAAGTTTCAACACTTTTTCTTCAATGAAGTTAGGAATGCATTAAATAACAATGATTGTAAATCATTATTTACAAACTTACATAATTAGTTATAATATAACTAATAACATAATGACAATATTCAGGAAAAACATGAATATTTTTATTAGTTTTATCTATATTACTTGGTTAAGACTACAAAATAAAGAGCCAATAGTATCATATGTAGTCTTAACTTATTCTGGTTCCTATTGTATCCAAATAATATACAGGTCTGCAAGCAGAGTGATTTATATTTATGACAATTTGGTAAGCTTTTAACTTTACTAAAAAGTATTTAAATCATCTTGAGAACAGGTATATATGCTACAATGGTAAGAATTAAAATACTCAATACAGAATTTGTACTGTACTTATGTCTATACTAAGAATATTTATTTAACATGCTTTAAACATGATCTCGTACACATTTGATACATGCATTTCCTTTACTGAAATCAAATCTATCAATGCGTTCATAATAGAACAAGTTTAATGATATTTGTAGTTCCTGTGATGACCTGAAAAAAGAAATGCAGAATGTCTTCATCAGTACAATTATGTTTTTATCAGAATTAAATTAATTGCCTAATGTTTTGTACTCACTTATTCTTTTACGATTAATTATGTAAAAGAATATCATCGAGCCAACTGTCACTTGAAAGAATGGCGCAATGCCACCCTTTCTAGGTTGTATATATTTGTGTTGCCAACGCCAAAATGCTGTAAAGTAGAGAAAGCAGACATAAGATGTTACTTGTATATCAAAATATTTGTTAACTTGTAGAAACTATTCGAACGTTATGATGAAGTCGGTGTTATGCAACTTTTGGTGAAAATGGTCTTCGTGGAAAAAGTACCTCGTGAACACGCTCCCATAAATGCTCGCGGCGTTTTTTCACGTCTTCCAAGCCAGGCCGGAATATCTTTGAGTTTCAAATCCAAAAATGGAGTATCAGCTACATAAATAAGAGGTCATTATATAAGATTATTGTCAATTCGGCCAAGTTAAAGATTAGTATGTATGGGTATATGTGTGCAGGTGGGATAAGGGAACTTACGTTTTCCGTAGAAGCGTGCAGGATCGTACGGTCCGTGTTCTACAGGATCATACGCATCAGGATATCCGCCGATTTTCAATTTATCCATGATGAAATGCTAAATTGCGATGGACCAATTTGTGTCAGTTTTATCAGATGTGATGTCGACGGAGTACGTACTTACTGTCCTTTTTCTCTTCCCTTTCAGACGTTCGCTCTCCCTCAGTTCAGTTCAGCTCAATAATGGCTGCGTTCAGTAGAACAAAATGATCAGTGAGCGCTTAGTGATTATTGTCTGTGATTGGAGTATTCTTTTAGATTCTTCATAGACCCAGAAGTATCTACCAATCAGGAGCGAGAATCACTGAGCGCTCACTGATCACTTTGTTCTGCTGAACGCAGCCATTGGCTCCGGGGAAATAAGGTTTCCCCATATGTTATTCCTTATGTCGTATCTTCATATAAGGGACTCGATTCCGTAATTTTTATCGTAGTGAAAATGCGAATCATATCACGTCGCGTGATTCCGAAACTTTCGTTATAGTGAACAGAGAAAAGCCTGAGAGCGAGCATGGCTGCATTTACAGCGTTAGGGAAAAGTTGGCTGATTCGAAGCGCCAACTGGGTCCATTTTTCATGGACATGAACTACTAAGCCAATGTCCATGATTTGTCGGTACTATTCCGTGCTATGTCGATAATTATTTGGTTCTGTTCTGTGCTATGTTCACGAGCGAGCTAGATTAGTTAGATAAAAACGAAGAATCGGTCTTTGTCTCACCACCAGCGAATAGACAATCGCGACGAAGCGTGCCAGCAGCGATGTTATCGTAAGGCAGACGTCGCCGTCCCCCCCTTTTACCCCCTTGTTCTTCTTTCCACATTGTTTTATATTCATAATTCGGGAAGAAAATAATTTCGAGAGTTCGGATGATTTCTAGCAATGACACGACAGAGATAACGCGCGGCCACATTAATTTGTCATGACTTTTATATTACTTATAATTACATAAACGCCTATATATGCAAATTATAGATAATTATTGCACGTATGTTTTAATATTGTACAATATGGTATATAATAACAACAACTTCATTTCTTGCAGTAATTTTTTTAAGATCTTCGTTGAGGTCGTGAATTAATCATTTTCTTCATCAATCAGTTTTCTGCAAAAATTACGATTTTTAAAATAAAATATAAAATGTTTCTCTTCTCTTCTCTCCGAAGAGTTAATTAAAAAATATATACTCCACAGAGTCAACTAACAAATGTGTAGTCAGAAGAGTCAATTTAAAAGTGTACTCCGAAAAGTCAATTTAACAGCGTATTCCGAAGAGTCAATTTGAAAGCGTACTCTGAAAAATCAAATTAATATTGTAATCCGGAAAGTCAATTTATAATAGAATATTTACTTCGATGATTCAGCTAAAGAAAAAAACATTTATTTATTATTATATTCAGAGAATAATATTTAATTTATTTATACTTATCTTACTTATGCTTAGCCTACACATGCTTCTTTGAATGAAAAATTTAATTTGTTGACTGATTCAGATTCAGATTTGTTAAAATATCTCTTATGCGCAACCCTTGAACAGGTAGGTAGTAAAATAATTTTCTTTCTTTACGAATTTTATAAACTTTTCAGGAACATAAAAATTGGAAGATTCTCAGAGAACAAATAACTATTCTTGAACATTTCAACCAAAGGAAAATCTTTTCCCATTAATAAAGAATGAATAATTAATATCTCACACAAGAGGAATCTTCACCCTTGAAATCACCGTGCGATTTTGCTTTTAGAAAAGTATAATATTGATGTAATAGTAACAAATGCTATCCAAAAACGGTGCAAATCTTAAACGTTTTTGAGAAATGTAGTTTGAAGTTTAGTCTTTTCTGTTAATGTCAGTATAGCAGAAGAATTACTAATTTGCTTCAGTAGCGCAGTGGATCAGGCTTTGTGATATGAGCGTAGAGGTTGTTCAAGTGTGTTATATTTACTATCACAGGGAGAACTATGTAGAATGAATAATAATACGCAGACAAATTCTTTACATAATCATACTTATTTCTTTTAGCATGAATAAAAATGATCAATGCTAACGTGATAAGTGTATATCGCAATTGTACGTGTACGCAATTGTACACATACACACACATATACACACGTATACCACGGATGTCAAAACCGAACAATTCGTAAAAATTTTTTATTGATCGCAATTGTACGCAAAGACGAAAGAGAAGTACACGGGTTTCCGCGGGTATCTCGTCATATTAATTGTTTATGAGCTGATAAACAATTGATCTCCGGTATTTACAAGTTACTTGTCCGCAGCTTGTTCGGTTTTGACATCATTGGTATCAGTGATGCGAATTTGGTGATGGGCTTGCATGAGGATTCTCCTCCCCCCCCCCAATATACGCACACAGCCAGCTCGGTCAATCGGTGTGAGCCACGCGATCGGCAATTGTCGACGCGCCGAGCGAACGAGCGAGAGGGAGAGAGAGAATATCATTCCCTCCTTATCGCTCTCGTTCTCGCTCAGCGAGCGAGCCTAATTCTTTCTTACCCATAATCTGAATCGCGGGCGCGACTGTCTCTCTCTCCTTTCCTCTCTATGACAATACTGAAAAGTTTTGTCTACTCGGCGCACCGAAATTATTATAAATATTTTATTATTAATAATATTATTATTTGTAATATATATTATTTGTAATATTATTATTTGTAATTTTATTTGTAATTGTATAATAAGGTTACAAATAATACAAATTTTTACAAATTTTATTTGTAAAAATTTATATCATTCGTAATATTATTTGTAATAGTATTGATAATATTCGGCGCCAAGAAAATGAGATATATTTTATTAATTATTTTGCGGAGTCGGGCCGGTTCACAGGTTTTATTATTGAATTGTTTAATAATATTTTAAGAATAATTTTAAGTTATACAAGGATGTAGTATGAAATATAAAAGAATATTGTAACAGAATCAAGAAGTACGAAATGAAACCTCTTTGCTTTTATTACAATATCCTGTAAGTTAATAAATATTTTTCATACAGTATTAAATAATCTCTAAAAACAATCTCTAACAACACATCCGTGAAATTTTCTATCTGCGCGAAAGAAAATTCATAAAATATATTTGTTTCGACGCTCTAAATGAGAAAACTCTCAGAACAATGTTATAGTTGTTCAGTGCACTACTCAATAAAAATATAATAATACTATGTTTGTATGTGTGAAGGATATTTGTTAACTTACAGGATATTGTATTAAAAGCAAGGAGGTTTTGTTTCGTACTTCTAAGGCCAAGACTTATTAATGGCTAAAGACATATTCGAATTGACCTTGCCTTAATTGATCGGATCAGTGATCGGTCTTGTCTTAACTGCCAAGCCTCATAACTCGGAAAGTACTCGATGAAATGTAACTTTGTTAGAGTGTTTTGAAATGCTCTCGAGATAAGCTACAAGAATATGTAATAAAAAATCGTAGTTTCTATTTAAAAAAAACATTAATGACCTTGGCCTGATTTTGACAAGGTCACTTCACTCAAGGTCAAGTCCACATTTCCATCATGTGTCGTCCTTCAAGCCATGCAACTTTCGTTCGAAAAATTTTTTAATAAATCCATCGATAATGGACCATATCACTTTAGTTAGTAAAGTCTTCAAACAGTCAAATACCTCGAAAACGAAACATTTTTAAGAAAAATGTTTCCAACTAAAGTTGTAGGGTTTTAAAAGTTCTATTAAATGATCATATCTAGTTGACCTTGAGTAGAGGAGTCAAGGCGAGGTCAATGCCAACATGATTTTTTTAAATGGAACATCCCATTTTTTACCACACAGTGTTAAAGATGACAACGAGCCGTTTCCAAAACACTACTTGATGACTTATTTTTGTTGAGAATTGTCTGAGTTATGAGCTTTAGAATTTACGGTGCCGCCAGCATTAGTATTATTCAGGATGTATCGCGTGGAGGTTGCATGGTCGGACTTTACACCCACCCTGTGTGTGTGTGTGTATGTATGTCAGCAGAGATAAGGACTATGCAGTAGTAGTGCATCAATTTTTAACTGATACTTTCCCAAACCGATGGATAACAGGATGTGGAGAAATAGAGTGGCCCTCTAGATCACCAGATCTTTCTCCATTGGACTACTTCTTATGGGGATATGTTAAAAACAATGTGTACGGAACGAAACCTGCTAACTTGGCAGACCTTAGGGAATGCATACTGCACCAAGTAAATCTTATTTCATCAGAAATGAGACGAAACGTTTTAAATAAATTTCATCTACGATAAGGTTATTGTCAAGCAGCAGACGGAAGACAATTTGAACACTTAATTAAATAAAAACCCGTCTACATACACACGTGCGCGCGCACACACACACATAGCAGACAGGGTTTGGAGTCATTAAATACTGCGGTAATGACGAACCGCGGAGGGACAAACCTTATTTTTGCTGACACATACACACGCACACACACACACATACACAGGGGGGGGGTGTAAACTTCGATCATGCAACCTCCACGCGGTACATCCTGGATAATACTAATATTGGCGACACCGTAAATTCTAAAGCTCATAACTCAGACAATTCTTAAGAAAAATAGATCATCAAGTAATGTTTTGGAAACGTCTTGCTATCAACTTTAACACTGTGTGATAAAAAATTGGGCATTTAAAAAAATTATGTTGGCCTTGACCTAGCCTTGATTCCTTTACGCAAGGTCAAACGGATATCATCATTCAATAGAACTTTTAAAACCCTACAACTTTGGTTGGAAACATTTTTTCAAAAACGTTATATTTTCGAGATATTTGACCGTTTTTAGACTTTTCTAATACCCTGTATACATATATGTATAAACAAATTTACTCTGCGTGCTGTCCCAACAACTAAAGTATCAGTAGCAGGACAGTTGTATAAAATAATGAATGCTATATTTCATCATGGATCGTGCATTGCAAGCGGTCATTACACAAGTATATGTAGAGAAGGTAAATCTGATCGGATTGAAGCTGATGATACGCAAATAAAAAACACTGGTCCAGAGGTGCTACAAATATTTGTATTCTTTTCATGGCAAAAATTAACACGTTTATTAATAAAATAACAAATTTTTTAAGTAAAATTTATCATTATTTATTAGAAAACTGAGTTATATGGTTATTTTACTTGTTGTTGTAACAAATTAATTATTATAACAATGCAATCAAAAATATTTAATACATAAAATCTTGGCGCGGCTGCACCAAAAACTATATCGAACTAAAACTTGTTTAATACATGACAGCATTTTTATATAATAT